GGAGTTTAGTTTAAGAGTATGGGGGGAAAGAAAGAGCTCCCACTGAATAAACTTCATCTTGTCTACCTGGGTGTGGTGAAAAGAGATGAGGATAAGATTCGTATGACTCAACAGTGAAAAACTGTTATCATGACTAACTGCGACTGCCACAATTGTAAAGGTAGAAGTTTTGTAACAAAAACAGGGGAGTGGTTAATCTTATAGTCCAGAAACAGAGGACCCTAGGATCATCAAGGGAGAAGAGCACAAGCAGAATGCAGGACCTTATCCGGAGAAGCAGTGATGCCAGAGACGGAGGCAGAGATGGGGACATGGAGACGGGGAGCGGCTGAGGTTCTAGATTTATGGGAAGAGAGGGACTAAGAGCTGGTGGCCAGCAGGCAGACTTACAGAATATGCCCTTTTGAGATGTAAATTATTATATACGCCTGAGTGTGTGTGTTTTATTTTGTTTGTTAAGCTGAAGTGGATACAGAGAAATACTGTTAACTGATGGTACAAGGAGGGGATTATAATCATTGCAATGAAACAAGGTGTATGATTTGTTGAATGTAAAACTGACGGTCTGCCCTGTAAACTTTCACTCAATCCAGAAAAATAAAACCTTAAAAAAAACCCAGGAAAATCATCAGTGATCACTGATCTAGACCTTTATATTATACTATATTCTGGAGTTCTGGTGTGGCACTGTAGGATAAGCACTGGACTGCTCAGACTGCTAACTGCAAGGCTGGCGGTTCAAACCCACCAGCGCTCCTTGGAAACCCTATACAGGGTTCACTGTTAGTAAGAAATGACTCAAAGGTACAGAACATCAAGCAAGAGAGTTTGCAATAAGAAGCCCCAGTGGCAATGATGGGTCAGGGGTTCAAACCTACCAGCTGCTCCAGGGAGAACGATGAGGCTGTCTGCTCCCACAAAGATTACTAGTCCTGAAGCCCTGTGCAGCAGTAACACCCTATCCTAGGGAGTCACTATGAATTGGAATCAACCTGATAGTAGTGGGATTGGTTTGGGGTTCAGAGTTTGTAACATACCACTTCTCAGGGTGGGGGTCACCTTCAATTCAGGAACAAGCATTCTTTTACAGTAACTACTGGAGGGAAGGGTTACCCTGCCTCAGCAACTAGATTTCCATACATCTGAAGGTGAGCTGTCTAGTTAGCAGTGGTCCTACAAGCCTAGGGACAGGCACTTCTGCAGAAGCAAGTAGGACAGAGGCTCAGCCCCGAAGGCGGGGAATCAGGAGATGGGCCGCGCTGGAGCTCCAAGTGCTGAACTTTCAGCTGCTGACAAAAATCCATCCTAACTCCCTGGTGTGCTGCTGTAGGTTAATGCGCTGGACTGCAAAGTTAGTTTGAGCCGCAAGGTCGGCAGTTCAAACTCACCAGCTTGTCCTTGGAAACACTATACAGGGTCGCTATGGGTTGGAACTGACTTCACAGCACTTAACAATAACTTCAGAGAAGGGGAGGAAAGCTCAAACTTGGACTATAAGTTAACCCTGCATACAATAATACACAATCTAATTTTATAGGAATTTACATCAACAAAGACAAATTCAAGATGCCCTGGTGGCACACCAGACTAAATAAGTGCTAGGCTGCTAACTGCAAGATCAGTGGTTCAAACTGAGGCTGCTCCAGTCAACATTTACAGTCTGAGGAATCCTACAAGCCAGGGAGTCCTACCCCGCCCCGCTGAGCTAACAGGAGTTAAAATGACAATGTCTGAAATAATTCAGCTACGTATCTTCTAAATCTTTACTCTTTAAACTCCTGTTCTCAACCCATCAGTGGATTGGGAAATCAATTTGGATCAAGACTAGCATTTCAAACACTCAAACAAGACAAAAAAAAAAACAAAACATCAGAATGTTCACTGCACAGAATGTCTGTGAAATCTGTCATATACAGGGCTGAGCCTCTGTCATGACATTTGTACAGAGTACTGATGTAAAAAACATGTGTTTTAATTTGGGCCAGGGTCCAACCAGTCGGAGAACCAGTGTCCTCGCCTACAGACGCTCTGTCTGTGTCCAACTTTCATCTCATGATATCCTAGCACAAGGCCTGGCCCTACGTATGTGTAAGAAGTATGTGTGATGATAGATGAACCAGTGGCAGGTCTTCCTGCAGATATCCAATGTGTCCACTAAATATTTCTGACTATGGCCACTCTGATGATAGCTGGCCACCAGACACAACAACCTGGAGAAGGCAAAGGAAGGCGTAGCCACCAGAGACCTTCAAAAACAGCCCTGTGGAGTGACACCAGAGACAGAGGCAGAGATGATTACATGGAGAGATGGAGTGGCCGGGGACCCTGGACTCAGAGAGAAAGAGGGGCTGTGTGCTGATGACTGGGGAGCAGGCCTGCGGGGTATGCCCTTTGGTTGTTTAAATGGTTGTATATTCCTGAGTGCTTCGATGTACATCAAAAAAAAACAACACAAAAAAACAGAGGAAATGGAAGCAAATGCTGTTGAATGATGATGAATGCAGGGGATTGTAATCATTGCAATGAAACGAAGTAAGATAGGATGAATGTAAAGTTGATGTTCTCTCATGTAAATTATCACTCAATTCACAATAAAAACTTGAAAAAATAATAACAGGCCTGTGGGGTGATACCCAGGGGCAGCTGCATGGGCATCAGTAGCAAATACCCAAAGAAGAAAGAAAATTCTCAAAATAGCGTGAAACACTGGAATCTTGTACTACTAGCATTTTCTTTAGTCAACCTTAAAATTAGGAACTTTTTAAGGTAGAAAGCAACAGGCTGGAGGAGGAAGAGGAAGAAGAGGAAGAGGAGTACTCAATTTCATTAAAGACAACAAGGAACTCAAAGAAGCCAGCTGTGCTGAATCACAGATGAAAGAAGGAAAGTTCCGAGATGAGCTTAGAAAGGGAAGGAGCCAGATCTTCTAGGGTCTGGTGGTCAAGATAAGATGCAGACCTTCGTTCAACACCCAGTGGAAAGCTTCTAAAGGATTCCATGTCTGAGTTCCAGAGACACGGAAAGATCCTATGAAGAAGATGGGCACGCCTGTTTGCCTTTTGCAAGATTGAGACTTCACAGTGCAAGTCCAATGACTCTCTACGTTCTAGCGTGGCTTCCTCCTCGCATGTGAGACTTAAGCAAAGTTTTCAGAGAGAAGCAAATGTTTCTGTGTCTAAGAGGTACCTGTTCCAGGTGAGCTGACAGTACTTACCAAGTGAGGAGGGGGCACTGGGCCAGGCGAAAAGGGAACCCTCCCCCACATTTTCATGATATCACCAAGAGGCTGGAAGCTTTCATCGCACGCTCTCTTCACCAATAAAGACATGGTGAAATAGCCCGCCTGGAACCACTCTGCCATCTCCTGGTTATTGAAGGGACCTAGAGCAGCACCAATAAAGCAGAAGGACAGTAAGAATCCCCGTTACCACCAAGACCCCCACTCACCCAGGGGTTACAGCAGGCAAGTATTTTGTATGTTATCTTAATTTAATTCACTTCCAACAGTGGGGAACAGGCTTCTAATCAATAAACTGTAACAGAAACAACTCTGAAATGAGCCTTGTGCTCATGTATCCCAAATTCTGGGCAGTAATTTAGTCATTATAAGGAAGATGACGGTCCCTGTCTCACTCAGTCTCTACACCGAATCATTAGCTGGAAAATATGCTTGAAAAGAATATGATGTAGTTTAGGACCTGGGGTTACTAGGGCTGTTAACCTGCAGTGCTGCACTGGCTTTTCTCCAATTTCATTTTCTGACAGAGATGATGAAAACTGGGAAAGAGTATAAATAATCATTCAAATTAAGACAAACTAATATGTATTTGCCCAAGAAAGACTAAATCTGTTCTTGGTAGGGGAATAACACATTCTAGCTCTTTTACAAGTATTTTACATACAAAATTATCAAATGTACTCTATAAAGAAGCCAATCATCAAAACCCTTATTAAACACCTACTATAAGTCCTTGTTGTTTGTTACGTGCCATCAAGTCAGTTCCCACTCATAGCGACCCTGGATAGGGTTTCCAACGAGAGGGTATTGAGTCTGAATTGCCAACCTTGTGGTCCAGTGCCTTCCCCCACAGCACCACACCAGGACTCTCCTATAAGATCTAGGCAATGGGAATACAACAGTAAACAAAACCACGTCCTAGAAATTCCATTATCACAGAAGATGAATTAGACGTGCTTTTCCCTATTCCTATTGCCACGTAGAATTTAAAACCAAAAAAAAAAAATAAAACATTTAAGAAAAAAAAATTTTTTTTTGGCAGAAAAAAGGTTCCCCAGCTCTGGTAGAGGGTTGCTGTTGTTAAATGTCGTTGAGTTGGTTCCGACTCATAGTGACCCTGTATAGGGTTTCTTGCTAAAAGGAACAGTTTTTGGTGGTCACCAGAGGTGGGTGGGAAGGGAAATTATTCATTGTGTGGAGGGTAGACACATGCTATCTTGGGTGATGGGGAAGGCAATATACAACAAGAGGGAGGTTAGACAGGAAAGATGAAGGCAGTGGAAGACACAGTGCAAGAGTTACAATGACTAGAAAGACCTACAGGAAAAATATAAAACAACATAGGCAGACAGACTGTTACTACAAGAACAAACAACTTGCTTGCCCAAGAAACATCAAGGCAAATGGTCGGATCCCCTCAGTGCAAACCCCCTTCCAAGACTAAGACTCAATGGGAATACACACTGTGATTGGTGACCACTCTCAACACCGATAAGGGGAAGTGAGGGAAAAACAGCAATGAAGTGTGAGCTAAGTCCTAAAACGTTCAATAGACTTCTGTGAACCCGGGTGAAGACCTGGTTGGCCAGCAGTGTGGCAAGACCTGGGGACTGTTGGGGCCAGAGTCAGTGGCATAGCCACAGAGGACTAGAGTGGAGAGTGAAGCGTCCAGCTGATAAGAGAGGGCAAATGCATAAGAACACCCACACTTGCAGATAATACCCACTT